AGTGGAAGAACAACACTCTATAAGAACTCTATGATAGGGACGAACTCTCACATTTCAATAATTAGCCTGAATGTGAATGGACTAAACGCACCACTGAAAAGAATGGCAAAATGGATAAAATACCACCAGGCAACAATATACTGCCTTCAAGAGACCCATCCCACTAGAAAGGATAGGCACAGAGTCAAAGTAAGAGGATGGGAAACAAATTTTCAGGCAAATGGAACACAAAAGAAAGGAGTCGTCACGATCCTAATTTCAGATAAAATGCCATTTAAGCTATCAAAAATTTTAAAAGGTACAGAGGGCCACTACATAATGATAAAAGGTTCACTCTATCAACAAGAAATATCTATCCTAAACATATATGCACCCAACATAGTAGTGCCAACTTTCATAAAGCAGCTTCTAGGAAATCTAAAGAAAGATATTCACTCTAACACCATCATAAGTGGGGACTTTAATACCCCACTCACAAACCTAGACAGATCATCAGGACAAAAAATCAGCAAGGAGATCCGTAACCTCAGTGTGACTCTTGATCAAATGGACTTAATCGATACCTACAGAACACCCCATCCAAAGACCACAGAATACACATTCTACTCATCGCCGCATGGAACGTATTCTAAGATCGACCACATACTTGGCCAAAAATCAAGCATAAGCAAATTTAAAAGGACCAAAATTTTACCATGCACCTTCTCGGACCACAGTGGAATAAAAATAAACATTAACACCAACAAGGTCCCTCAAAACCCACAAAGACATGGTCACTAAACAGTATGATGCCAAACAACTCCTGGGTCAATGATGAAATCAAAATAGAGATCAAAAGATACATGGAAACAAATGAAAATGAAGAAACATCTTACCAAAATCCCTGGGATGCCATGAAAGCTGTAGTAACAGGGGAATTTATATCCCTACAAACACACATGAAGAAAACAGAAGGATCACAAATTAACGGCCTAACAAGACACCTAAGGAAGCTGGAAAAACAAGACCACAAAAACCCTAATTTCAGCAGAAGAATCCAGATTGCCAAAATAAAAGCCCAAATCCAGGACATAGAAGACAGAAAGATAATACAAAAAAAATCAATGAAACAAAAAGCTGGTTCTTCGAAAGGATAAACAAGATCGATGGTCCCCTAGCTAGACTGACCAAGAAAAAGAGAGAAAAAACCCAAATAAGCACAATCAGAAACACAAAAGATGAAGTCACATCTGACCCTGAAGAAATACAAAAGATCATTAGAGACTACTATGTACACTTGTATAGAAACAAACTTGAAAACCTTAAGGAAATGGAGGACTTTCTGTCATCACACAACCTGCCTAGGTTGAAACAAGAAGAAATTGAGACCCTAAATAGACCAATAACAATCAAGGAAATTGACTACGTTAATAAGAAAACTGCCTCCAAACAAAGTCCTGGACCAGATGGCTATCCAGCAGAATTCTACAAGACATTTAACGAGGAGCTGATACCAATACTACTGAAGGTATTCCAGGTGATTGAAAAAGATGGAACTCTCCCCAAATCATTTTACAAAGCCAACATCACATTGATACCCAAGCCAGGTAAAGACCCAACAAAGAAAGAGAACTACAAGCCAATATCTTTGATGAACATAGATGCTAAAATTCTCATCAAGATCCTAGCAAACCAGATTCAACATCACATCTCAAAAATCATCCATCATGACCAAGTAGGCTTCATTCCTGGGATGCAAGGCTGGTTCAACATTCGTAAAACCATAAATGTAATTAAATACATCAACAGATGCCAAAACAAAAACCACATGATTATATCGTTAGATGCAGAAAAAGATTTTGATAAAATCCAGCACCACTTCTTGATAAAAACCCTCGAACATCTAGGCATACAG